ACTGGGTACAGTATCCAGGCTAAGCCGAGTCCCGGCTTAACACAAGTCAGGAAAGACCTGGGTTTTCCTTTGAAGAATATGAAGACATATCATTTGAAAAATGGGATGCAAGTTCACAACTTGTTCTACAAGAAATCTGAGTTTTCATGCCAAGAGTTTCAAATATGGACCTAAGTACCCATTCAAAGAAGTCATGCAAACAAACACAAAAACATGTGTTTTTTCGTTCCAAACTCTATGATCAAAATGAGACTTTAGTTTCAAGAACACATGAAACCATTTTCTCTTTCTAAAACCAACTTCAAAACGATGCATTGACATGCAAAACAGACCGATGATGCAATGCAGCTAGGTATTCAGCAAGAGCAACCAAAGGAGATCAAGATTCTAACCTCAAAACTCGGATCTAACGGTTCAAGCCACAAAGATCAAGCTTGGAAGACCAACTCTCACTCAAGATACTCTTTCCTCCTTTCTAGAGCTTCTCTCTCTAAACAAGATTTGAGACAAGAAATGATGTTTGTTCACAGGTCTGTCGGCTGCCTTAACAAACAGCTCGACACGTGGCATTATCGGTTGGTTTCAGCTCCAAAAGGTGATTGATAGACAAGACAAGTCTCTGACAAATCGTAATGCAGCAAGCTCGCGGCAAGACACATCGGCCAAAGAGATGACATGCGGCTCTAAACAAGGATCCAGCAACAGCGAGTAGAGAAAACATCGTGGCAGAGGACGACACTTTGACTTAATGCTGTAGCCACACCTTGGCGGGGGTGCGCCACATCTCGGCCTAGGCCATACCTTCCTCGGACAGGGTTCAAGTTGCGGAAACATCGTCGGCAAAGAATGCCGAGGTGACAGATTGGGTTGAACAACGACCTCAAGACTGGTTACTAAGCTTACAAAGGTCAAAGGCGAAAGCTCAAGATCTGATCTCGGCCTACGCACACGCCTAAGCAAGAACAAAATCGTGCAAGCAACAAGGCAAATCAAGCAAGGACAAAGCCTTTAAATTAACATAAGCAGCAAGACCATGCAAGAATGTATGCAGTATGGCAGAGTAAGGTTGAGGGTTCTTACAATATGAAGACTCGCCTTGCCTCATTGCGGAGCCGGCTGTGGCGCATTATGTCCGAGACCATGCCTGGTTAGCCAGAAAACCACGTATTTTGGGCGGGGAGCCCGCTAGTTGTCTAATTTTTTAGAAGATATTTGTGACCTCTTTTGTCTCGAATTCTTATTAAAAACGAATTTGGATCTCTGTTGTTGAGGATTGAACAAATTCTTTAAAAGCTTATACACCTTCTTAAGAGCTCTTTCTTCTTGTGCAAGCAACCTTGAGGCAAGCTTACCACCTTTAACCTTATATCCACACCATATACACCTTCACAACCTTAGCTTGGAACCTTGGTTTGACCTTGAACATCACAATTTCAAGCTTGAGAGTGTGTTTGGACCAATTTGGATTCACAAACTAAAGAGCTTATACCTTTCTTGAGGGTATAAAGCTTACTATCTCGTCTCTTTGCTCTCTTTTTCTATCTCCTTGCTATCTAGTTCTTTATTTTGTTATTTTTTTTTATCCACTTTCAATGTCTTAAGCTTTGGTTTAGATAGCTACCTAAGGGTAAGAGAGAGTTAAATTATTCTTACACCCCTTTCACCTAATAGCCTCAAACCCTTTGTTCTTTACACCCTTTTATTTGCTTCCTAAATGAAATTTTCAGAGTTTTAAAAGAGCTAGAAAATCATGCTTTTAGTTTCAAAAGTGGAGGGGTTAGCCAGCTCCTTCCTTGATTCTTAGCTTACTAGCCTTATTTTACTTTCTTTAGTTGTTTAGCTTTTTGGCTCTTTTCATGCACTTTGAGCCATTTGTTTTTTACCCATTAAGCGGCTGTTTTAGGGCTTTCCTAGGTTATTAATTTGTTATGCTTTGATTACGCTTTGCTTGTTGTCTCATATGTTCGTCTTATATAGCTTGTAATGTTTTCTTGCTGTCTTGTTAATTCATTGTCTAAGAACATCAAGTTAACAAGCAACCTATATCATTTCTTTCTTTGAGAGTTTGTTTCAACCAGGTGATGCCGTTGTTCAAAACATGAGCTAGAGATTCTATGCTTAATGGCTTAATCCTACGGAGGTTTCATCACCTCGGTATAGTCTCTCTTCGTGTTGAGAATCACTTCCCGTTTGACACGCTTCCCATTTAATGGACATAAACAATCACCTTGGACTTAATGGGCTAAGAATGGAAAGGTCTAAAAATTTGCTAACATGAACCAACCACACATAAAGAAAATGAGTTATATTACTTGGATTCGACCAGATGTTATGCCGAGTCTATTGTCTCAAGGGTTGTCTTACATCAATTCATGATGTTTCGATAAGCCTTGAAGCATTCCTACCTCTCTCTTTGAACTTATTCCATAATAAAGGAGGGAGGGGTGGTTATTGATTCATTGTGTTCATTAATTTTTGTCCAAAATCATGCCCTAACTCATCAAGCAATCAATTTGCTCATTAATAGTTTTGGAAATGACTTCGTTCTTTTCTTGAGGTTTACTATGAGAGAGAAGAGTAGAAGGGACAAACAAAGTTCAAAATAACTCTGTCTGCATTGTTTTCACTTCAGAGCACAAAAATAGGATTTTGCATAAAATTAAGGCACGACCGGTGTTATTTGGGCCCGATCGGGCTTTATTAGGAGCCGGTTGGCCATCATTGTTTGGTAAGGCAATGTGTTTTGCAGAAGCAGAGCGCAGTGACTGAAGATGAAACAGGACAGATCCCAAGAAAGGAAGACAAAGTTATTTCTGAAACCGCTACGAGCATGCCATCCTTGTGCTTCCATTGTAAATTGTAAATTAATGATTTCAATATTGTTGTAATTATCATTATCGTAATTAATATTGTTACAGCAATGATTCGTTAGATAGTTAGCTTATTTTGTTGTAATAAATTAGCTAATTCAGGCTCCCGGACACTCATTCGCACCCTCTTGCACGAGGGCCAACATGTAATAAGTTGTATGTCTTCCAACCCCACGTCTTTCTCTCTTTTATTTATTTGCTTACGATGGTTAGTATAGAACATCATTTTTCAAATTAGCATCTTTATGTTTTGCATAAATCACTACAACAAAATGGTACTTTAATGACAAAATCACTTCGTCTCCAATAGTGAAATTTTCGTCACCAAATTGATCCGTGACGAAATAATTTCGTCACCACGTTCTTCCCCAATTCGTCGTCACTAAAAGTACCCGGTGACGAAAATTTATTTTGTCACCTATTATTGGCATTTGGTGACAATATATTTCGTCACTAAATGTTAAATATTTTGTCATCTATAATATCCATTTCGTCACCAAAATTAAATAAAATTTTATTATATTTATTTTGGATGACAAAATATTTCGTCATTAAAAATAGTGATAAAATTTTTAGTGACGAAAATATCGTCACCAAAAGATGAAAAAAAAAGACCCTTCAGTGACGAAAACTTTTTGTCAAGAAATATTTTAATTTAGTGATGAAATAGTGAATATGTGTGACAAAATTATTTGTTGGGATTAGAAAGTTTTAGTGTCAATTTTTTTCGTCACCAATAATAAATAATTTTTAAAAATTGAGGGGAGGGTTATATTTGCAATTTATATATTTTTTTCAATAAACAATACCTGTACATTTTAATAATCTATTAAATAAAATATTTAATACAAATCAATATAAAATTAACTTGTTCATTATCATAAAACAACCCGAGCAAAATACATGTCTCATAGTATCAAGAAATTAATATATAACATCCAAATTATAACATCTATTCTAGTAAAATCAAAAACTACAACACAATCAAAATAACTTGTGCATTTTAATAACCTGCTGAATATAATATCCATTACAAATCATTACAAAAACCTGTTGATTTGGTAATATCAACAAAAAGTACAACTACGCTGTGATGGATGTGTCTGGTAATATCAACAAAAAACTCTTGCTATGCAGGTTACCAAATTCGTTCATCTCCAATCTGCCATTTAAAAAAGAAAAAAGAAAAAAAAGACAACAACAAAATGTTAAGGTAACCATTCACTAAATATGTTAATATGCAACCTATAAGAGAAAAAATAAAAATTTCAAAGTAAATTTTAAACCAAATTTTTACCGTGCTTGTTCCGTAAATTTTTACAACTTACATTAGTTCCTCCCAAGGTGTTCATAATATTTCTTGGCCTTTTAACGACTATTTCAAGATTTTACTCCCTAACGGCCTATTTTCAAGCCTAAATGTTTTCCAACCGAGAGTCCTATGATTGTTCTGTAAGTTTTCACAACTTATGTTGATTCCTCCCAAAGTGTTCGTGATAATTTCTGATAATCTCAAGGTGTTTGTGATGTTTTTCGGGCCTTTAGATGCATACTTCACTATTTTCCCGGGACCTTGTGCCTAAATGTCAAAAGTAGTTTTTTATTCTACCCTAGTTAAAGAAGAAATGTTCTACTAAATTAACATATAAACATAATATACTAACCAAGAAGCTTGTTCATCAGAATCTGAACTTTCCCCATTCTCAAAATTTCCCGTGATACCTTTCTGCGTCAAACACTCTATTATACTTTGTATCTTCTTGCTTTGTTTCTTCTCTGACTTTTGAAACCTTGCAATTTGTTCATTTTGCTGTGCTATTTGCATCTCAAGGCGTTGAACATAGTCACTATTTTCAGCAGGTACAACAGTAGTCTTCATAGAAGAAGAAGGCCTCAAGCCGAGTCTTTTCACATAACTTGACCTTGGCTTAAGCACCTTGACTGACAACTCCTCTGGGCTCAAGGGGATCACACCAATCTGCGAGAGATGTTCTGCTTGCGTCTGTATTATGTTATCCTGTTAATTTAAAATAAATCGAATAATTATTAGTTATTCTACCCTACAAAGCAAATAAATAATGTTATCAAAATTAATATGCATTAATTGCCTTGTACATACATAATTAGTTTGGCTCTCTGACGAAATCCATTCATGCGTGTTCGAATTATAGTGGATGGACTTGTAAAATTTTGCCAAATCAGGCACTTCTCCATTTGCAGTTATCTGATTCATTTGTTTTTGAATGTTATTTCAAATATTTAAATAACAAAGCCTACTAATCCGTTAAAATAAAATAGCAGAACACACTGAACTATGCACTCTGACCGGGATTGATTTTGATCCACATCTATGTTTTGTTTTCATTTGCATCCTATTACTCACATTAGTTAGTGATTGTTCCTACACGATTGAAACACTAATAAAAATAACAAAACTTAACATTAGTAAGAAGAAAATTAATTTTTGACTATTAACATAAAACATTATACCATGAATTCTTTACTATTCCACTTCTTGTCAATTAGAGATGCCCATTGATTAAGAGTAACACTTGCAGATGGGTGGCTTCTTGCGTACTCATCCCCTCTTGCATCCTTAAGTTGCTTGTATTGTTTGTGCAACCTATAGGTGAAGCTACTCAATCGCCAACCAAACTGTGTGTTTAAAGTCCTTGCTACATCACTCGGATTGCCTTGTAGATCAAACTGATCCTGCAAAATCAAATCATTTTTTTTATAAGTTAAATAACCTAAATTTTGTTCACATACACAATTAGACATAGCAGCAACCAACTGTAATATATACATTTTATTTTGTTGGCTTCACTAGTCATATTAGAATTTCGTGGAAACTCTCAAATCTAATTTCACACTGACCAGAAATTCTATATTTAGATGTTCATTTTATTTTATTTTCCTATAAATGTGAAATTGCTCTTTCATTGCTAAGAACAACCAACTTAGTAATTAAATTTCCAAGCACCTCTATTAACAAAACCAATCCTATATTTGCTAAGAAACCCACAATTATATAAATATTTTGGTTATGAAAGCAAAAATCATCCCCGTAACAACTTGCAAGTTGAAAACCTAGAGAACATATTAGCTAACCCTAAACTTTGCAGCGCTGTCAAACTTTCAACAGAACAAAAGGACACTACAACATTCAAGCAATAGTTGTTGTTTCCAGTACTAGTATAGTTTCAAATACTCTTTTTGTGCTATTTTTGATTCAATGGCAGGTGGTTGTTTTATGGTATATATAATAAGTAAACATGGTAGTCAATAAAATAGTTGAGAAACCATTTCTTCAACATGGTTTCAATTCAACTAAGATTATTTACATAAACTATAGGATACTATTACTAACCAGAAAGAGCCATACCCAAAATAAATGGTTTTAGAAGTAGAAAATTAGAATTCAATAAAAAGCCACACATTAAATTAACAAACATGAATGGCATGTAGAAGCTGAAGGTGTCTTGATACCAAAAACATAAAACATTCGTAAATTAAATGAAAAAAAGAAACATCAAAATACAAAATAGTAAAATTTAGATACAACACTGTCACGACCCAAACCCGCCCCTGTAGATTTAGCACCGTAATCGGCCAGTAATCCGTGGATTACCAAAGGCCTCTAAACAGATTAGCAAATAATAAGGGGCTGCGGAAGCAATAATACAAAATAGATAAGGTCCAATGAGATGTGATAACGTACATGGGACAGAACATTTCAAAACTTATTTATATATGCACAAACATGTCGGTCGGAGGACCTTAATATTTACAAAACATTTACATAAGTGGAGTTCCCAAGACCTGACTTTACAAACATTCAGAAACTAGTATAAGTACAAAAACAGCCATGCAACTAGACTTCGATCGGAACCTCTTCGGGAGGCACAACGGTTGGCTGACAAAAAATAGAAATGAAGGCCGTTAACTCTGGCCCTAGTCACACGCCGGCTCACCTACATACATAATACAAACTGTGAGCTAATGCCCAATGAAAGAGTAAAGGATTTAATCAATGATGTCCATCATAGAATTAGAAATCGAGTTCTTATCAGAGACAGATTCATATACATATTCATAATCATTTCCATAATCAGGTTTTGCGTATAATCATATGTGGCACATCCATTAGCGTTAACAAATCTGATGACCCATAGAGAGACAGTCTTGAAGGCATTCTGATGACTCATGTGCACAGAGACGTTTCTGATGACCCATAAAGGGACCTGATGACCCATAAATGGACGCATATCATATGATGCTAAGGATGCCACGAATGACTTTCAGAATCTTGGACAACCATTCATTCATTTCAAACATGGCATGACATTTCAGAGAACTGATTACTTCGTATCATAATATTCAGAAAATACTTAACATTAAACATAACTTTACAAAGTTATTACTCACAGATGATTGGTGGCCTTATCTAGTTGGTAAGGCGGCCCTTCACTTGTTCTGAGGCGCGTGACCTACATGAACACACACTTGAAACATACGTTCGAATTGTACATAACTTATGTCGTTGTTCTTAGTGTGTTTCTAACCCTTAATCCTCATTATGGAGTCTTAAACATGGCTTAGAAATGCTTAGGATGGAATGAGGATGCCGGAGTGCGTTGGAAAACATTTCTCAAGATTTGTTGAAAATAAGGTCCACGCTCGAACGTGGCTTCCCTCGCTCGAGCGGACACGCAGACAATGAAGCTTCGCTCGAGTGTGAGTTTTCTCGCTCGAGCGTACTGTAAACTTATGAAAAAGTGCTGCATGCAAGATTTTCACGCTCAACGGGCGCTCGACCAACGCTCGAGCATGAGACTCAGACCCTCGCTCAAGCATGTATTCCCTCGCTCGAGCGGACTACAAAACACAAGAACTTCTGGGTATATGCATTTCACGCTCGAGTGTATACTTTCACGCTCGAGCGGAGTGCACGCACTTAGAGTTCACGCTCGAGCGTGGATCAAATTTGCGTGGATCAAATTTCTGGAAATTCCAGATTTGATCACCAAGCTCAAATTCGACCTCTAAAGCATCAAACTCAATTTTCTGGGCACAAAACTTTGGAAAACACTTAATAACCCATAGAACAACATGTTTAAAAGATCATTGCAAGAAATCATGGCCCAAAAGGATATCAATTTGCACAAACTCAACTTAAATTCAAAATCAATTTATGAACATCACATGCAAGTACATTTTTGAGCTAAGGCTCTTCAAAACATGAGCAAATGCAATGTTCAACTCAAAAACATGATCAACTAAGATAATATGACATGGAACGTGAGGAATTTCTTAAACAAAGCTTGGATTATGACATGCATGCAAGGATTCTATAGAAAGACAACTCCAAATATTATGAATTACACATGCATGTATGTAATGAGCTTCAATTCTCCAATCTTAGCTTAATTGACCACCCAACCTTCTTGAGTTCATTTACTAATGCCCTTAATACAAAGTTTAAGAGTGTAGTTCTCACCTAAGGTTGATTACAAGTGTGATCCTAACTCAAGGCTTCAAATTATCTTCAATCTTCTAGCTAATTCCCCCCTTGTGAAGTCAATTCTTGAACTAGGACCCAAATCTCTCAACTCTCCCTCTCTCTCCCGTCTCTTGCATCAGTTGAAAGGAATGAAAATGAGAAAGGCAACTTAGTGGAGTCAAAAGGCCTAATAAGTGACAATGGCTCACAAATAAACAAATGTCATTATTTTAATCAAATTTAATCGTCCCGAACTGAATTTTAACTAAGCCTACCATAAAATTCTATAAACTCTAGCTAGCACATAAATCGAGTCAATTTCTGATTCGAATGTCGATAAGGCTTTCAATTTGTAAACTGAAACTAAAATCATGGACAGATCTTTCTACGCCTAACAGATATAAACACAACAATGCAACACACACATGCGCATTTTAATGTAAGATTCAACTAAATTTCTAATTAGGCATAATTAACTATGGATTTGCGTTAATCAGAGGTTGAGGTTGTTACAGTCTTCCCCCCTTAAAAGAGTTTGGTCCTCCAAACTCGAATTACCTTCGTTCTGGGACAACATTGGGTCCAACGGGAATAATTCTGGATATCTTTTCATCATGTCTTCTTCGGTTTCCCAGGTTGCATAGGTTCCTCCGTGGTTTTTCCAATCAACTTTTACTAACTGTATTTCCTTATTTCTCAACCTTTTGATCCTACGGTTCACAATCTGGATAGGTCTTTCCTCATAGGTGTAATCATCTTTCAAAAGTACGTGTGTTGGCTCAATGGCATGGAGTGGATCTCTCAAATACTCTCGAAGCATCGATACATGAAACACATTGTGCATATGCTCTATCACTAGATGTAAGGCTATCCGATACGATACCGGATTGATCTTTTCAAGGACCTCATAAAGTCCAACATACCTTGGCGCCAACTTGCCCTTAACACCAAACCGAGTTTGACCCTTCATCGGGGTCACCTTTATGAACACATGGTCCCCAACTTCATATTCTCTATCTCTTCTTCGGACATCAGCATAGCTCTTCTGCCGACTCTGTGCAGTTTTCAGGCGTTGCTGGATCAGTTTCACTTTCTCAGTTTTTTCTTGTACAAGTTTCGGTCCCAACAAAGGTCTATCACCTACTTCAGCCTAACATATCAGAGAACGACATTTTCTTCCATCAAAGCTTCGCAAGGAGCCATTTCACTGCTTGAATGGTAACTGTTGTTGTACACAAATTTAGCTAATGGCAAGTAGGTCTCCCAATTCCCTTAGAAGTCTAACACACACATTCTGAGCATATCCTCCACATTTTGGTTCATTCGTTCGGTTTGGCCATCTGTCTGTGGGTGATAGGCACTGCTTAGTCTCAATTCAGTCCCCAAAGCTTGTTGCAAACTCTGCCAAAATCTCGATACAAACTTTGAGTCCCTGTTAGACACAATAGATACTGGCACTCCATACAATCTCACAATTTCAGTCATATAGATATTGGCCAATTTATCAGCGTTATAAATAGTTTTGACAGGCAGAAAATGGGCAGACTTAGTTAAACGGTCAGCTATAACCCAGATAGAGTCCATACCTCGAGAAGAACGAGGCAATCCCACAATGAAGTCCATGGTAATGTGCTCCCACTTCCATTCCGGTATTGGGAGTGGTTGTAGCAAACCAGCGAGTCGTTGATGTTCAGCTTTAACCTGTTGGCAATGTAGACATCTAGCTACAAAGTCTGCAATACTCTTTTTCATTCCAGGCCACCAAAAATTCTGTTTCAAATTATGGTACATTTTCGTGTTCCCCGGGTGCATAGCAAACTTACTACTGTGAGCTTCGGTCATAACACGTTTCCTCAAATCACCACAATCGGGTACACAAAGACGGTTCTGAAATTTTAGCACATCCTTCTCAGACACAAATCTTGGCCTTGGCTTCGAATTAAATTCCTCCGTGATCTTTTTCAAGTATTCATCCTCGCACTGTTTCTGTTTGATCTCGTCAAGAATTGTAGGTTGAGCGGAGATAGCAGTTAACAGCCCAACTTGTTCTAGGTCATTCAGCAACTCTTTCCGGTTGGATAACAGACATGACAAACTTCCCATTGATTTTTGGCTCAAGGCATCCGCTACGGTATTAGCTTTTTCTGGGTGGTACAAGATCTACAAATCATAGTCTTTGATTAACTCTAACCATTGCCTCTGTCTCATG